TCGTCTTTTTTTTTTTTTTAACCTTTGGAGCATGTTTGGAAAATGGCTCCATGTGTTATATGTATGTGTGCATATATACATTTTAAGGGCATTTCATGTATTTCTTGTTTTCAGTGTTGTGTCTGGAGAGCAAAGAAAATGTCTATACCACAGTGAATACTATGCAGTTCAGAAAAGATGTGTGGAGGTTTTTTTAAGAAAAAAGTTAAATTAACCTTGACTGTGCTTCTAAAAGTGTGTGTGAGCCTTTTATTGTTAAAAATAAATGAGCTTGTGAGTTGGTGGAGGGTCTCCAGGGAGGTCTACAAGTATCAAGAATGGCCAGGACTGCTTGCATTCTCTTTTGCTGATAACAGTAGCATAGAAATAATAACGAATGCTGTGACATTGGGTATTCTAAAGCCTGTTTTCCAGACACGTGGGGATGTAGAGTGCTCTATGATGGCCTGGAATTTGACTTGCCTCATTAACTTCCTGTTTCTTAGGGGATCAGATTTTGCTGGCCTAGCCTTGGGATCGTGTTAGAATCCGATACAGGGGGACATCAGCGGTGTTGAGTAGCCGTCTGCCCACCACTCCTCCCACGGAGGTGACCCTCTATGCCAGCAGAGCCCACTCTTTCAGGTTTTTTTTTAGCCACCTCCTAGCCCTGGCCTTTGCAGACAACTTTGTCAGCATTTGTTTGAGATGAATGAAGAATGTCTGCTCTGACAACAATCACAAGTTCAACCATAATTTGCTGCTAAATTGTGTTGGTAACAAATGTTCAGTGCTCATTGATAGTGTTTTGAATGTTTAATGTTTCAACTGCCAGACTTCAGAATCTTGTGTCAGTGGCCTTAAAGCTTCCTTTGTTTGCGAGAGCACCAGTTTTAGTAACGCTCTTTGAAGAACAGAGATCTCATGTTCTGCTCGTGCTCTCCATAGCCGCCCCTATGATAAGCTGGGAGCACTGGAAGCTGGGATTGATTCAATGGAGGGTCAGTGGAGGGTAGTCTCATTGCTGGAAGGTGTGGTCACAGTGCTATTGCACGGAAATAATAACCATTGCCGAGCACAAAGAAGTTGGCAGGGATGAGTGGGATGTTCTAGCTATGGTATGCTGGGTAGGTAAGTGCAGGTGACAGAATGGTCTTACTTGGGTTATCTCTCCCAAGGGCCTCTCAGGAGATGGCTGCGATCTGGGTTAAGTGCTGAGGCAGCGTTTGGTGCTGTCTTCCTCAGGAGCTATGCAGTAGAGGAAGGAGTACCTGGTACCGCTGCACAGGTGCAGGCTGCAAGTGTTTGTTCAGGGTCAATTGAAATGTAGGCATTATTAATTTGGACTAAGGGATGTTTTGTCTCCTGTTAAATAGGGAATACTGTAAAGAATTAGGAATGTGCAAAACACTTGTCAAATGCATGGAAAGAAACAAAGCAAGTGGTAGGTAATTTTTCTTATGAAAAGGAAGGTTTATTAATTCCTCATGAGGGATAATTGTACTTGGCTGTCTACCAGTAAGCTTCCCCCTGTATGTAGATGAGTTGTTTGTGAATCATTTGGGTCATCAGGTAATCTCTGTAGGTAAGGAAGGGTATAAAATATCAGAATTTTGAAGTAAGAGTAGCTTTAGTACTTAGGCTTGGTTCTCAAGATCTGCTTCATAAATCCCACAACTATTCTGTTTTAGGGATATTCTAGTCAGTTCATGGATATAATGTTGTTGAAAGTGGCTCATGCTAGTTGGAAATCATTAAAAATAGAGTTTTAGCTGTTCTAATGGTAGAACCAAAGTAATTTATCTAAGGAACATAAAGCGTGTGTTTTGGGTTGTATTTGTGTGCTATATAATGCAGCCTCTTGTTCTAATTCCTTGTTCCAGTCTGTTGTACACTGCTTTAGCATGAGGAGAGGCTTTTCATAGGCTTCATTCCGCCCCATCCCTTGCTGTGTTAAATAAACATAAAAATTACCTGTATGTATAGTACTGCAGCTTGATAGTTCACTTTGCATTTATGGCTATAAAGTTGTGTTCAGGCTTTCCAGTCTTCCTGGACCCCTGACGTGGCGACATGCTGTCTTTCATCGCCCAAGGCACACACACTTCCGTGTTGTGATCTGACTGACCTTTAGGAGTGGGGCAGTCTTCCTCCTTTAGCAGGAAGGTGTAAAAGAAATGACATTTCACCTCGTCCTACATCATGGATATAATGTGTAAATCGGGGAACTGTATAACCTGAACCTTACAACTCCACAGCAGTCTTCACTGTAGGGCATGTAGGAAATCTCTAGTTGGGCTAAACAAAATCTAGTCTATACTGTAAGTACATTTAATATTGCTGCTTAACGGAACCGAAGGTACGTGTTTGATGTAAATGCTTTGAAGAGCTGTAGTAAATAAGTGTAGAGTAGGTACTGCTTAAATAACTTGTGCACTGCTTTAAATTGCAAACACAGATACAATATAGCACTTAGACTATACTTACTGTAAAAAATAATTTCCAGCAGAAGATAGTGTGAAAGTTTAGATGTACTACCTCTGCTGAAAAGCATGTGAATGTGTTAGTGAGTAGCCCTAGCTTTTAAACTAGTCATCAGATAGTTTAGAAGTATCAAACTGTGCATCTGTCTTAATAGGAGGAGATTAAATTGAACAGACTAAGGCAGGCAGAACCACTTTTAAGCTTACTGTAAAAGCAAAGGACAGTGATTGTCATATAATATTTGATGGAGCAAATTTATGTGAAATGCCAGGTGGATGCCAACTTTGTTTCTAGCTGTCACTTAATATATGATTCTACAGTGTCGCTTAGTGAAATGTTATTACTCACATGCACAGACCAAGGTCCTTAAAAAAAAATAATTCCCAAACAACCAAACCTCATTCTAGTGCTAGCTTTGAATTTTAACCACATAGAGCTCTTAGAGATTTTTTTTTTGGAAGTTGCGTTATCTTAAAATGAGTATTTACTCCAAAAAAGGTCTTAGATAATAATACAGTATTTTAATAAGTGGTGTTTATTTTTGATGTAGATGTTGATTTGATTTACAACTAGGTGAAAGATGTGAAATTGTTAATTTCAATTTAACATGGAATTTAAACATTTTGAGACAAGAAATTAATTTGCTGATGGTTGAGTTGAATAAACTGTCTTGAAATCTCTCTCCCTAACCTTAATAAAACTGCCTTGTTGTTGAGGTGCTGAACCATGGAGTCCAGTTTTACACTGAGATTTGAAAAATTTACTTAAGCAAATAGCATTCTGTAAAATTAATTCTCATATGCTCTAGGTTTGTATATGATTTCTGTTTTTAAGGTACTCTTTAAGTTCATTGCATTTCTTGGCAAAATACACGTAATTGTTTACTTTTATCCAAGTGTTTTGAACATTGAGTGTCTTAGATCTGCTTTTTAATTGAACTTAGGCTAAAATGTTACTGCTTAGTCTTCTAATCAGTATCCAACTTTTAACTAAAAATATGGAAGTTTTTTTAAAACAGGGTCAGAATTGTCTTCTCGCAGGTACAGTGTGAATCTGTGTCAAGGTGAATTTGCAAGCTAAATGCACAACAATTTTTGTTTTTGCCATTATATATACTCAAACTCAAAGTGCTGAAATACTCTTTAAAAGTTGAGTAGAAGGGGTGAATATTTGGAACATCAGCTTTTTGTCATTCATTGTTTTGACTGATAATCTAAGTTATAGTTTGTGTTCTTGGAATAATCACTAGTCATCTTAAATTGGATGTCAGTGATTTTTGTTTGTTCCTAAAAGCAATCTGAATGAGGTTTATCTTTAAAACAAAATAACAAATATAAGCAATAAAACTACCTTATCAGTGGATTTGTCAGCAATTTGTTAGCCCCGTATTACATCCCTGAAAAGCCTCCCCCAACTTCCTTTCTGGAAACTTTCTTCTCATATACATAACCACAGAATTTTGTGTTCTTTGATATCTCATAGTTAATGTATATTCATTTTTTTTAGATGGTATCACAGAAAATCCAGGCCTGATTAACTTGAGTGTTAACCTAACCCCATTGTGTTGCCTGAGTTTGGTACCTCTGCTGTTGGGCATACCTGGGATATGATGTTCTTGTTTCCACTGAGCAAAACACGGCTTGATTTTAACTATTTGTGGGCAGAAGCTGTAGTTAAGAATGTATTTAAAGAAAGAGCTTGAAAAGAAAGCAAGGTTTTTCTGGTACTGGCACTGTTGCTCAGCAGGATTTTTCTCTGTGCTCACAGGTTTTGGCTGAGCTGGGTTTGACAATGTCAGGCCTCGGCAGCACCGGTGCTGCAGTGGGCTGTGGTGTGGGTGTGAGTGCTGCCAATCTTTGCTTGCGGCAGAGCTGCTGAAGTTTTGAATGATTGCATTGGTAATGGTGTCTCTCATTTGAGAGCCTAATGAAAACATTGTCCCTTTGCTTTTGTTGCTGTTACTGTGTTCAGGAAGAGGACAGACCTGTGGATGGAGGGACAAAAATTAAACTAGGAAAAGGTGCTGTGAGGAAACAGGCAGTATAGGTTAAAGCAAGAGAAAAAAGATCTGAGTTGGGGAGTTTAGCTTGAAGAAATGTAGTCATTGGGCAGAAGTTGTAGTAAGGATAGGTTGAAGTGAGGGAGGAGTTGGAGGGAAAGAAGACTCCTCCAACAGAGGGGCCCAAGACTGAGAGATGAAGGGGAGAGGCAAGGGTTGAACAAGGTTGGGGAAGCAGTTTGGGATTTAAAGTCTAATTATGTTTTCATGAATTTACATAGAAAGGGTCAGAGTGAGTTTGCATGTGCAGTTATGAACCTTGGTCTTCCCTAAAGCTCTATTATTTGACTTTGCGTGCTGAGTATTGTTTTGAGGTGAGCTTACACAGCTTATGTTGTGTGACAGTACCAAAAGGAGTGTGTTTTCCAGAGATCGCTCCCCAGTTTAAAACTGACTGACTTTGGTTGTAATATTAAAATTATTGTATGATGACAGATTTTCTGAGTACTGACTAAATACGTCTTGCTGTGTCTTTCAGACGGGGCTTGAATCCACCCCACAGAGTGAAGTCAATTTCAATGACTACTTTCACGCAACAGGAAATAGAATTTCTGCAGAAACATGGGAATGAAGTAAGTATTATTTGGAGACTATCAAGTGGTTTTGGCACTTCAAACTTTAAAGCACTACTTAACGAAAACTTGATTTTTTTTTTTTGTAGCTAAAAGTAGACAAGTCTTTCGAAGCCAACATCATATCAAGTGATGCTTCCAAAGAGCTTGTTTCACTTAGGTAGATCATCATAATGTTATGTCGTATTGCCCAACCCAGACAATCTAGATTCCCATTATCAGTGATTCAGAATTGGTTTTTTTTTGCTTTTGCTTAAGGCAATATGCATCTGTCTCTTTTTTTTCCTGCAAGCCCAGACCTTGAGACAGACTGAAGCAGTGTTTCCTGGAAGAGCATACTGTGACAAAATAAACTTGTTGCTTGTAGCTGTATTTCTTCAGAGTGGGTGTCAAAAGTCTTCTAGTGGTTCCAATAGCCTCTTTCTTTAATGAAAGTATATCGATGTTGAAGGTTCTTGAAAAGAGGAAGGAAAGGGAGAATTTTTTTTTCCTTTAAGGATTGTTATCTAATAAGTGTCTACATGTTTAGAGTGGCTTGGGGCAGCTATTAAGACAAAAAGTTCTAGTGTACTGCCTTTTTTTTCTTTAAGAGATGAAAACTGAATCTGAAGTGAACGTTGGATTGGCTCAATGGGACACGTGGGGCATGTAAATCCTGGATGTGGCTATTGCTGTCTTCTAGTTTGAGGATAAAGTTTGTATTTTAATACCATACTATAGCATTGAGGATTTTAGAGGCAGCTTTTGCTTCTGTTCTGAATTAGAAAAAGTTCTATTTCACTTTGATTGGATCTGTATTCTGCTTTAGTAGAGCTATTAATTGTAGACTACAGAGTGTCTTATCAACGTGTTCTGGTGAAGCTTTATGGGGTAAATCCCATCATTAGATAAAATGCTGATTTTTAGCGTTCTTAAACTTTGCCCATTCATAACTGTCAGGTTGAAGAATGAAAGTAGAAGTAGCAATTTCTTTTTCTGTCCTGGTAATTGTGTTATTTATTGAAATGACTATTAGTGGATTATTCCTCTAGGCAGAGCTGGAACAAGGTCTAAACTCTTACAGACATTATAAAATACTCTTAATGGCTTTGACTATTTTTTGTAAATTGTTTTGGCATATTAAAGCTGTATAACATTGTGTATGTATGTATAGCATATTGCTGACTTTTTGCATAGGGAGAATAAGGAATCTTTTGTGGGTTGACATAAATATGTTGGAGTCTCTTTCCGTAAGATTAGACTGTAAACTCCAGCTTTGCTTTAAGCTTGACAAGTGTAAAGGGAAACGTGTGTGTTCATCTGTGTCCTTCCCTCCCCGCATCTTTTATTTTCAGTTTTTCACTGGATCTGCAATAGCTAGAGAATGCTAACAGTTTAATTTTTCACTGATCCCTACTCAGTTGATGAGTGTAGCTGTCCTTCCCATTATAGACCTGACTAGTCTGCCAATCATAATGATTTTGTTGATACATAATTTATTATTGATATAAAGAAAGTTCACAGATCCCTGCAATGCTATACTGTGTTTCAAAAGTGGGGGTCTTTGTGTTTGTAGTACTTATTCCTCTAATTAAAGTATTGCAATGATTTAAATGAGCTACCTTATAAATGAAGATATCCTCCTGAGCTTAGTTTTGGGTTGTTGGATAGCAGTGCATTGCCTTAATTCTGAAGTAACACTGAAGAGATATTTGTAATTGCAGATGGTAGATTTTACAGGTGCTCAAATACTGAACAGAAGTTATATTGTTTTAAACACTGTTAGAAGCTTAATACGTAATTGAACATGCTTTCACTTTGTCATGCTGTATGTTGCAGTAGTTAGATAAGCGTTTTGCTTTCTCTTTTTGGTATTGGACTTTGGAATACTCACCTGAAAAAAAGATAAAAGTATTGGGCAGACGAAGTTCATCTGAGCTCACAAAAAAGCTTCTTTGCTTAGCTTGCTCTTCAGCATAGGTGGTTCTTGTGTATATATTAAGAAGTGAAATTTTCTAGAATAAACTTGTTCAAAGATGGAACTGTCCAGCAAAGTACAGTACAGTTGCAGTATGAACTGAATGGTTTAGATGCTGTAACATTGAGTTGGTTTAGTTCTGCAGCTGCGTATGTAAAACCCTCAACTTTTTGCAATCTAGTATGTTGAACTTCAGTTTTTCTGTAGTGTGTAAAATACTTTCATTTCTACTTTGTCCTCCCAGTCTTTCTCCAGCATGGCCAAGGCCTCTGTGGTAAGCTTTCTTGCTTCCAGATGAGTAGATCATGGTGTACAATAGGGAAATTGTTCTGAATGGAAAGGAAAATAGCAATAAGGCTTCCCTGAGATAAGGTAGTTATTAAGGTGGTGAGTTGTTCTTGGAGGAAGCAGTCTTCCACTCTCCTTCAAAGAGTATTTATAAGGTCAATGTATTGAATGAGGTTGAAGTTCTCAAAAAAAAAAAAAAAAAAATCCTTATCTCTGAAATAGTAACTTTTCGACAGTTGTCACAAATTGCCATCTTTGTGGCAGATGTGGGTAAAACATTCAGTTACTAAAAGGCTTCTACAAAGCAACTGCTTTGGGAAGAGATTATTCAGAGCAGCTTCTCTTCAGGTGTGAGACACCATCTCTTTCCCTGCATATACACCTCCAAGGAATGTATTTCTGGCACAGGTAACTTGAACTTTTTTTGTACAAGTTTTTACTGCTTCAAATACATATTTAAATCTTTTTACTATGTTCGAAGACATCTATATTTTGGTGTTGCATACTCATTTGCAGGTACAAACAGATGTCCAGACTCTAGTTTTGTTAATGTTGCGACTAGTTTATTTATGCAGCAAGAATGGAGACATCTTCAAGCTGATATTCCTCAAGTGCGTTCTGAAGTCCTTTTAAAGGATAAAGGTGATTCTGAATGACTGAGTGGTATTTTCCCCCCTCCTTGTTCTCTTCATGAAGAGTAGCATGAGGTATTTTCACACTGTATTGTCATGTTAGGAATAATGAGGAGACTGATATGGAGATGGCTCTTTTTGAATACTCATAATCAAATGATGCTAACGTTGATTAGGCCTCTGATTCAGTAATGCAATGATAGTAGAAAGTGAACTCACCACAGAAAGTGGAGGTGGTACTCACGTTGCCATTGTAGCTGGGAATATTTATTTAGCTTTTCCCCAAAGCTGAAAAAATAGTATTATGAGGCAAACCAGTTACACAGTTTTTCTACTACACCTTTGAGAAGTGCCGTATGTTTTATAACTTTTCCAAATAACCTATTCTAATATGCATATGGTGGAAGAAGATCATTTGGATGGTCTTGTATTTGGAAAATCTGTGTTCATCTGGGGCAAAGATCATGTTTACCTGAGCTGATGAGTAGAATGCTGTATGAGTACGCTCAGCTGCTTGGGATTAGTTTATCAGTGATTAATTTTGTTTTTGTACCAGTCTTACTGACTCTTGATAGCACCTTTGCAAGTATTTCTTACCTGTTTCCTGCACCCTAGATTCTGGGAGAACCTACAGTTGGAGAACTTACGTAGAGGGACCTTGGCAGGCTTGAGAAGTGGGCCCCTGCAAACCTCATGAAGTTCAATAAGGCGAAGTGCAAGGTCCTGCACATGGACTGGGGCAATCCCAAGCATAAATACAGGCTGGGTGGAGAATAGATTGAGGAGCCCTGAGGAGAAGGACTTGGGGGTGTTGGAAGAAATTTTTTCCTGTGAAGTTGGTGAGGCACTGGCACAGGTTGCCCAGAGAAGCTGTGGATGCCCCATCCCTGGAGGTGTTCAAGGCCAGGCTGGATGAGGCTTTGAGCAACCTGGGCTAGTGGAGGGTGTCCCTGACCATGGCAGGGGGGCTGGGACTAGATGATCTTTAAGGTCCCTTCCAACCCTAATCACCTAACCACTCTGATTTTATGAACTAGTAGCAGTGTGGTAGTAGCTAGTTCAGAGCGGGTGTTTGGCCTGACCAAAATGCTTTCCTAGAATCTTTTACTATGGAACGTGGCCTAGAAACCCTGGAGTGGAAAGAGCAGCACTAAGCTGGAGCTGATGAGTCCTGACAGCGTGAGCTGTGCAGTCAGGTGTCCCTGCAGTACATCCCTGGTTCTGCTAATACGATATAGAGAAACATGAGCTGATTGTGTGTAGAACAATGTGAGCAGGATTTACTAGCTTGGACTCTGTGCTTATGAAAGCAGTTATAGCTTCTGGACCCAAACTGGCTTTGAAAAGAGTATACTAGCAGTATAAAATTCTTTTAACCTACAGAGATTAATGAATAATATTGACATCAGAAGTGCTGAATTACTAAACAAAGCTATAACTTGCTTACATAAGGAAACTGTTTCCAAATCTTTCTTCCTGTGGCGAGTGTTATGTTTTGGAACATAGTTTTGTTGTGTGGTAATCTGTAGTTCTTTGCACTGTCAGCATTACATTTGGTGCATAACAGGATATTTTATTGGAGGGGAGGGGGAGAAGAAGAAATATAATTTGGCATTTACCAGACTCCTGAAAGGTAGTCTCTCATTAGAGCTTTTTAAACTAGACTGATATGTGTAATCTTCCTATGCAATGGTATGTCTGGGTATAATCAAGAAGTGCTCTATTGCTGTCGGTCTAGTAGTGTGCTTTTTCTAGTTCAAGTGCAGCTTCTACCAGCAGAAGTACTTGTCCTGTTACAGCTTTTCCTGGCCATGCTGCTTTCACTGCATAGAAGAGAAGGTGGCTTCATGAGCAAAACCTTAATTTTGCTGGCCTGAGTTTTTTATTATTCCTGACTATCAGAACTATGCGAACAGGAGTTTCTAAAGTGTGATGGCTCAATGTGTTGTGTAAGCAGAAGGCCTTTGTCTCTCCCATATCCGTCTTCCCACACACACTGGAGATCTGTATCAGTGAAATAGTTGTGACATGGTAAAGTGGTGTTTGGTAGTTGAGATATGTAGCATGGAAGAGAAATAACTGAAATCTCAGATTGTCTCAGGCTTTCTGCAAAATTTGATGGG